TCAATTGTTGTTAAGAAATTTCAGTTGATTCCGCACGGTTGATTCTGTTTTCGGAAAAAAAGTTGACATTCTCATAACTATAACGACCTTCCTTGCATATTGTTCATCGTCTCTACGTTATATGAACATATTGTGATGACAATAAACGGCACTCCTGTACTAGTTTTAGGTAGCGTCGCATTGCTATCACATGGTTAATAAATAATGATCATCAGCACCGGGTTTAATAATTTAACAAATACTGCATTTGCAACCGGGATATATTATGCTTTCTCTCTCTCTCTCTCTCTCTCCCCCTCTCTCTTGTCAATGCATTCCTTTTTCCTCGCTTACTTCCTTCTTACCACGGAGTATGTTATGTGTAAGTGTATGCCTCAATCATAGAGAACATAATCACTAATATCGCGGAAATGATTCTTCTCCTTCCCCTTCTTCTTCTTTTTCCTAGTAGTAGTAGAAGTAGTAGTAGTAGTAGTAGTAGTAATAGCAGCAGTATCATAATAATCAATATTTTTGTCATTATTACTGTATATTTATTGTCATTGGTGTTGTTGCTATAATAGTTAATATCGTAATTATTAATATTATTAATATCACTATATTAATATCGTTATTCTTATAATTATTTGTTATTCTTATTCTTATTATCTTAATTATTTTTTGCAATATGTCATGTTCTATAGGATTTATTGCTATAATACAAACAAGATGCCTACCAAGACTCTCAATTCGTTGCTGAAATATTATTAAGAGAAAAAAAGAAAAATTAGAGTACATTTTATAATTAAACAAATATATAAAGAAGAAATAAGTAGAGAATACAATCATGACAATAGACAATACGTCATAAAATAATGTCTTTGAGTTTACCTTTATTTGCATCTTGCTCGAGTTTGGCTTGGGTATTTGGTACTGGATGATTAACATGGACAAAATGCACTTGTTTACACGATCGTATTATCTCTTATTCATCATTCCAGTTTTAATGTTTTCTGGCTGTTTTCGAGACAATAATCGATCATATAGATCTATGTAACTTGATGTCTCATAGTAATTATTAGGGAAACGCAAACTAAGCAATGATTGTTGAATTTTAGCGGCAATCGTTCGCCATTGCTGCTCATGCAGTAACAACACGAATTAGGGTTAGTTCTTACCTGAAAATGACCCAAATCTCGGAGCATGGCCTGGACTGGGGCCTTGACCTACTGTATAATTATACGGACAAGTGCGTGCCCTTGGTCCAATTCTATAACTCGTATTCTTAGCCCTTCTTTCTTCCCTTTTCCTTTCCTTTCCTTTCCTTTCCCTTCCTTTCCTTTCCTTTCCTTTCCTTTCCTTTCCTTTCTTTTCCCTCCCTTTCCTTTCCTTTCCTTTCCTTTCCTTTCCCTTCCTTTCCTTTCCTTTCCTTTCCTTTCTTTTCCTTTCTTTTCCTTTCCTTTCCTTTCCTTTCCTTTCCTTTCCTTTCCTGTCCTTTCCTTTCCTGTCCTTTCCTGTCCTTTCCTTTCCTTTCCTTTCCTTTCCTTTCCTTTCCTTTCCTTTCCTTTCCTTTCTTTCCTGTCCTGTCCTTTCCTTTCCTTTCCTTTCCTTTCTTTCCTTTCCTTTCCTTTCCTTTCCTTTCCTGTCCTTTCCTTTCCTTTCCTTTCCTTTCCTTTCCTTTCTTTTCCTTTCCTTTCCTGTCCTTTCCTGTCCTTTCCTTTCCTTTCTTTTCCTTTCTTGTCCTTTCCTTTCCTTTCCTTTCCTTTCTTTTCCTTTCCTTTCCTGCCCTTTCCTGTCCTTTCCTTTCCTTTCCTTTCTTTTCCTTTCCTTTCCTTTCCTTTCCTTTCCTGTCCTTTCCTGTCCTTTCCTTTCCTGTCCTTTCCTGTCCTTTCCTTTCCTGTCCTTTCCTGTCCTTTCCTTTCCTTTCCTGTCCTTTCCTTTCCTTTCCTTTCCTTTCCTTTCCTTTCCTGTCCTTTCCTTTCTTTTCCTTTCCTTTCTTTTCCTTTCCTGTCCTTTCCTTTCCTTTCCTTTCCTTTCTTTTCCTTTCCTTTCCTGTCCTTTCCCGTCCTTTCCTTTCCTTTCTTTTCCTTTCCTTTCCTTTCCTTTCCTTTCCTTTCCTTTTCTTTCCTTTCCTGTCCTTTCCTTTCCTTTCCTTTCCTTTCCGTTCCTTTCTTTTCCTTTCCTTTCCTTTCCTTTCCTTTCCTTTCCTGTCCTTTCCTGTCCTTTCCTTTCCTGTCCTTCCCTGTCCTTTCCTTTTCTTTCCTTTCTTTTCCTTTCCTTTCCTTTCCTTTCCTTTCTTTTCCTTTCCTTTCCTTTCCTTTCCTTTCCTTTCTTTTCCTTTCCTTTCCTTTCCTGTCCTTTCCTTTCCTTCCCTTTCTTTTCCTTTCCTTTCCTTTCCTTTCCTTTCCTTTCTTTTCCTTTCCTTTCCTTTCCTTTCCTTTCCTTTCCTTTCTTTCCTTTCCTTTCCTGTCCTTTCCTTTCCTTTCCTTTCCTTTCCTTTCCTTTCCTGTCCTTTCCTTTCCTTTCCTGTCCTTTCCTTTCCTTTCCTGTCCTGTCCTTTCCTTTCCTGTCCTTTCCTTTCCTGTCCTTTCCTGTCCTTTCCTCTTACCCCCTTTTTTCAGTAAAGGGGGTGGGGGCCGGGGCCGTCTCCCCCTCCCGTCCATCCGTGTTTGGTTTAACGTATCCCAAAATGTGATTTATTTTCACTGCTTTGTGTTCACACTTTGTAGGCTTTCCAGTTCTCGAGGTGGCCCTTTTCTTGGTACCCACCCTTCTATAAGTACGTCACCGCCCCTCCGATTGTATTTCACCAGTGTTTCCATATTTACTGGTTTTCTTTATAGTAAGTGAAGACAGTATGTTTGCTATGCCATTAAAATATGTACAAATCGTGCCCTAATTTGGTAAGGCACTAATCCTCGCTACCACGCACATTTTTTTTGTGTGTCCCAAAATTTCGATATTTCGTTTTGTTGGGGGGGGGGGGGGGGGGGGTAAAGTCAGCTTTTTGGGGTCACCCATTACCACAATTTTGTTTAAATTAAAAAACAAAACAAAAGGGAGGGGGTTCCTCCAAAACACACACATACAAAAAGTTAAAGGGGGCGGGTTCAACCCGCCGCCCTGCGTACGCGCCTGATATAGATGCTCCACCACCAATGAGATACATGTATTTCACTAGTGTTTCCATATTTACTAGTTTCTTTATACTAAGTGAATCGACCTTCGTGCAGACAGTGTGTTTGCTATGCCATTAAAATATGTACAAATATTAAGAAACCTAGATAATCAGAAATACATGCACATATGAAAATCTTGTCTTTATATGAACTTCAAGCATGGAACTACTAAGTAGTAGGACAGTAAGTCCGTGCTTCAAGTGACTTTCAAATACAAATAAAGATTTTCGAAACTACTCTGATATCTTACGACTTTTCCATCAGATTATGGGAACCGTGTACAGATAATTCTGATATGCCCGATTTTTATGCCTCCGCCACCGAAGGTGGTGCCGGAGGCATCATGTTTTCGGGTTGTCCGTCCGTACGTCCGTCCGTCCGTCCGTCCGTCCGTCCGTCCGTCCGTCCGTCCGTCCGTACGTCCGTCCGTACGTCCGTCCCGTTTGACCGTTATCACAATATCTCAAGAACCATTTAAGATTTAAACTTAAGACTCAGGAATAGTATTTATCACCATAGGAAGACGATCTGATTAGATTTTGGAGTACGTAGGTCAAAGGTCACAGGTCACAGAGGTCAACTTATGAAATTCCTTGTATTGAGTTTGTTAGCGCGATATCTCAAGAACCATTTGAGATTTAAACTTCAAACTTAAGGATAGTATGTATCACCATAGGAAGACGATCTGATTAGATTTTGGAGCACGTATGTCAAAGGTCAAGGGTCACAGAGGTCAACTTATGAAATTCCATACATTGAGATTGTTATCATGATATCTCAAGAACCACTGGAGATTTAAACTTCAAACTTGGTGATAGTGTGTATCACTATAGGAAAACAATCTGATTACATTTTGGAGCACGTAGGTCAAAGGTCAAGGGTCATAGAGGTCAACGTATGAAATTCCATACATTGAGATTGTTATCATATCTCAAGAACCACTGGAGATGTAAAAACTTCAAACTTAAGGATAGTATGTATCACCATAGGAAGACGATCTGATTAGATTTTAGAGCACGTAGGTCAAAGGTCAAGGGTCACAGAGGTCAACTTATGAAATTCCATACATTGAGATTGTTATCATAATATCTCAAGAACCACTGGAGATTTAAACTTCAAACTTAATGATAGTGTGTATCACCATAAGAAGACAATCTGATTAGATTTTGGAGCACGTAGGTCAAAGGTCAAAGGCCACAGCGCACATTATGAATGCAAAAACAGCTTGTGATCGCGTTATCTCAAGAACCGATTGATGGATTCATGCCAAAATTAGGTCATGTTTGTTACTTGCAGAGCCAATGAACTGAGTAGATTCTTGGTTCATAAGGTCAAAGGTCAAAGGTCATGGGCCCATTATGTATGCAAAAATAGCTTGTGAACGCATTCTCATTAGAACTGACAGATGGATTACTATTTAACTCAGAACATCTTGCAGAGCCAATGAACTGAGTAGATTTTATGGTCATGAGGTCAAAGATCAAAGGGTCATATATGTATATGAGAAATTGCTTGTAATCACAATATTCTGAGAACCTGTCAATGGATTACCATTGAACGTGAATTCAATTTTTTTTTCCTGTTTTGGTTTGTAAAATTGCTCTATAACGGAGGCATCATTTTCGACTGCGCGCAGTCGAATTCCATCTAGTTTTTCATATTGTGATCGAGGTGACCCACGTTAACAAAAAGGGGGGATTTTCCAATCGTTGAGAGTTTGTAATCACAAAATTCTCAAAATTGTATAGTTGTGAGACCAAGAGATTACCAAAAGACCAAGAGCGCTGTCCGTATATATATTTTAAGGTGCAATTCTTGTACTTTAATTTAAAGTGAATTATCTTCGTGACGTGTATCCTGGTACGAACTATTCAAAACCCGTATGGTCCTATTTTTGCATACAGGCCTTCAGAGTTATGCCTGGCCGCCCATAACAATATCCTTATAAGTAATACTCATACCTCGCCGAATTCTTACAATACAGTATAGACAAGAATTTACTTTTGGCATTGTATATTTTTCTGTATTCAAACCTTTGTGTGTGTTGATTCCTCGATTTTCAGATAATGTGATACGCTGCAGAACATACGCAGCTGCTCCGGAAGAGCACCGGTTAAACCGTTTTCAAAAGGCAACATATTCAACACAGGTAAACATTATTCAAGGTGAATTAGAGCCAATAATATTTAGGAAAGGAAATCATGTCAATCCGCGACGAAGAGCCGAGTGAAAAGAAAAGTTTGTCAGCTGAGGCAACTTTTCCCAGCAGTTACCCAAACTTGCAGGAAACAAAGTGGTCACACCAGGCAGCTCAAGGCTCGGAGATGGAAGGGAAGAAAGCAACAACTATCCGAAACGGTGGTGGAGACATCGCCGCGGTAGGGCGTGAGAGGTGGAGCGGTCGACTAGATTTTCTTCTTTCATGTGTGGGATTTGCTGTTGGGCTAGGAAACGTTTGGAGATTTCCTTATCTTTGTTACAAAAACGGTGGTGGTAAGTACAGTTTGATCTACGTATCTACACTCTAAAAAAAAGATACCCAATATTGGGTAAAATTTTACACTTTACGAGGGTAAAAAGGGAACATGCATGTTTGTTGGGTAAAATTTGACACAGGGGTGGTTGGGTAAAAATTTACCCAGCAAAATTATTGTTTAATGTTTTACCCAACTGATGTGCAATATATTTGACCCAATGTAAAAGGTAAAATGTTACCTAACGACAACCATGTTCCCTTTTTGACACAACATTGGGTAATTCTTACCCAACTCATCCTGGGTACTCGTTTACTTTTTTTTACCCAAAAGTTGGGTAAAATTTTAACCCAACCTTATTGTATGATTTTTTATTTTTACACAGACTTGGGTAAAAACGAAAATTTGTCCGAGGAGTTGGCTGGAAAGGTCCATGTTACATGTAGTGTATAAGTAGCAGACCTCTCTCTCTCTCTCTCTTGGCTAAGACAGTCTTTCGCTTGGCGTGCTCGCAGTAGGTGACTGCATCACGGATGACATTCTCCATACGAATAATGTATTGTCCAGAATTATGAGGAATTTCATGTCGATATTGAGAAGATTAACACGCATTCATGCAAATAAATGCTGCGGAAAGACACAAGTGCATGATCGTAGTCTATTTCGAACAAAGTCCATCTTCTGTCGATCTTGAACACGATTAATTCGACGAACAGCTGATTCGGACCGACCGACCACGCTAGCGCTTCAATCATAGTTTTTAACATCAGTTGTGTCATAATACCAACGTTTAGGTGTCAAAATTTGTGTTTACCCAACGCGTGGTTCAAATATTAATCTGCATCGTTACTTTCTTACCCCAGAATTGCGCACAGTCGAATGTTGATATGACACTATGGCAAGTGTAATGACATTTCGAAGGGACTTGGTGTTTGGCACAAGGTTGGGTAATACTTTACCCAACTTTTTTAAACAGCGATTTTGCACAGCAAAATTTTGCACTCTATTTTTAGAGTGTACGTAAATGGATGCCTTATCAGTTCACAAATACTGTCTGGAATTGACCGCTATCGAACCGAGAAGGGACAATATTGTGTGAATCTCTTTTAATTATCCCAAGCCGAAACAAAACTTAAAGGCCCACTGCACTACTTGTAGCTACTTGCGCCCTCTATATAACAAACAATGCCTAATCGGAGACCATTGGTTCCCCCATGATCCTCTTTTTTTCTTATGTTAACTGAGAGCTGAGTTGGTGAGATAACCACCTGTCCAGTGACCTTGCAGGGCAGTCTAATCCCTCCTATAAACTACGGCAGATAAGCAGAGAGAAGCACTATTTCGGTTTCATTACATTCTATGTATGGAGGACGAGTGATGATAATTGTTGGCAGAAAGATATAGAGAAAAAACAAGAGAGAGGTGTATTTTTCGTGAGTGGAGTATGGAAAAGGACTGGTGAACCAGGAGAGAGAGAAAGAGAGTGAGTGGGCGATGGTTCCACTCACAAAGGAATACCGCTCTGAAATCCCCTTTCTTTCTTTTAAATTTCTTTGAATTGGTGGTTAAGATCCCTTCATGCAAATAATTACAATTATGGTTTTTTTACCGACCCCTATACTTGGCATAACAAGGTTTATAATGATTACCTAATAGCGGAGAGGCGACACACAATAGGGGCAGTGCAATTTAAATGCATAAAATTGGAGAGAGTGGGAGTTTTATGGAATGCCTTGAAATGAGCCTTTTTTTTTGTTGTGCTCTTAAAAAAGGGCATACGGGCAATGCAATTGGAATTTCAAGGATGGATTAGAATTTTTATCGCTCACGACGTCTATCTAGAATGTTTTGAATTGCCCAAACTCGATCAATGCTCCGACTCCTGGATCCCTGACTGGGGCACTGTACCTGCAACCCACCAGGTGCCCTAAGGCGGACCCCATGGATCCCATTAGTAAAGATAGAACTAGTTACCAAGACAACCCGTTGTTGCATAAAATTGTCCTTAGGAGAGAGTATACCCAGGAGAAAATCTGATAAGCAAATACTATTAATTTCTATGTTTTTCTTCAATAATGGAAAAGAAAACACATTTTTGGCTCGGATCTGATATCCACAATGTATTGAAAAGAATTTACACCACATTAACGCTCCAGCATTCTGCATGGTCTTCTGAAAAATGACTTGAGGATTCACACGACCGGCATGTCGGGTTTATGGGCATTCTGACAATGTTTCTGAGGGTTCAAGAGAACTACATTGCTGGTCTCGTGTGCTGTCTATAATCCCCGCTAAATTACATGCGGGATTTGTTTAGTTATCTTTCTTTGATTTATGTTGAAATATTTGTCTTCACCATGAAAAGATTTTACTAAGCGGTCAGATGAAAGGGGCAGGCGCGGATCCAGGATTTCTTAGGGGAGGGGGCCCAACTTTTTTTTTTTTTTTGCTCCCGAAAATTTGAAAATCGCGCCGGCCGAAAAGTCGCTCAGTGGGGGGGGGGGGGGGGGGGGGGGGGGGGGGGGGGGGGGGGAAGCGGACATTTTTTTTTGGGGGGGGAGTCCCAAAAAAATCGCAACGACTCAGCCAGCCGAAAAGTTGCTCAGTGGGAGTGGGGGGGGGGGGTAGTGAGCACAATTTTTTTTTTTTGGTCCTCGAAAATTTTAAAATTTGCACCCCCCCCCTTGAGCGCCCCCCAAAAAAGGTAAAAATCGCGTGATTTTGCATGATTTTTTTCTCAAGGGGGAGGACCCGGGCCCCCCCTGGATCCGCCACTGGAATATTTTCCGAAACATCACAGAGTACAGAAGAAGTAGTCTACTGATCAATTGCAATCAGCACTCCAAAACCTTTGAAATTTCTCCACTTCTAAATGTCCAACACTTTTGTCCAGTTAATATACCGAGGCCAAAATTAGAGGGAAAAATATCTACACGAGAAAGACCTTTTTGGCTCAAACTTTATATTTCACACACTACATAACTAAATGAAGTTAATATCAACTTGGAGGTATTTTAATTATCGATCTTTTGACACCAAATTCATTGGTGATTAGAGGTTTTACTTAAAAGTTATCTTTAAAGCTCGATGTAATGACGCCAGACACGTTTTCGATACGCCATGTCAAGTATAAGCATACAGGATTGTGGGCAAAAATGTAGTTTTATTGGAAATCAAATCAATAATTTTGGGTTACTATAACTTTTCGCTGAAAAGAGATATAAGCCTCTCCTTAGAACAGGGTATTTTCCTTGTACATGGGTAAATTCCTGGGAAGTAACGAAAAAGGGCACCCCTCCAATTCTAATATATGGAAATTAACGGTTTTCGAGAAAAAATAATGATTTTATTTCAATTCTCGATGTTAATTGACCTCAATTCCGTTGAAATTACTATCGTAATGTGAATAATTAATTTTTTCTTTCATATGACACCAAATTCATGGCGGTTCAAGGTTTTCTTAAAATATTATTTACAAAATACTATTTTTCGTCAAAAGGGCGTCTTTTTTGGAGGCCCCCTCCGCTAAAAAAAAAAACTGAAATATTGTGTATTAAAATATGATTATGATAAAATATTTCGAATGAACAAGGTGTGTTTAGTTTGTGTGGTAGTGACAGGCAACTCGGTTCAATACAATTCAAGTTTATTTCCACAATCTGATAAAAAACGTAACAATCAAAAGACAAACAAGAATACATCATAATTCATAAGTATAATATAATAGACAGAGGCGGCGGAGCAACTTCCTAAGTGGGGGGCACCAACAAAAAAGGGCACTTTCTGGAAAAAAGGGCACCTTCAAAGGGAAATCTCAAAGCGGAAATATACATTTTTTAATATAAGATAATTGCGTAAGCACAGGCGCGGATCCACGGGCCGATTCTACCAGCCCGGCCCCCCCCCCCCCTTGCCCCGTAAACCGGTTTAAAAAATGGGATAGTAACGTAAGTTTTACCTTATAAAAAACAAAAGCGACCCCTGACCCCCCCCCCCCACCCCCTGACCCCCCTTAAAAATAACAAAAACATTCCCCCCCCAAAAAAAAAAAAAAATTCCCCCGCTCATTCGCCGCTAAATATTTTCTCAAGATTTGGCCCCCCCCCCTCTTTCCGCCGGCTCCGCCCCTGGTCACAGATGGTCGTTACTGTAACACTATATGACAGATTGGAAAGATGTGTAAATCATTGAAATTATAACCAGTATACGATGCGAAAATGATTCTTCTCCAACTTCCGGATACCAACCTGGAAATTTTGGTTGCGTCCTACGGGACTCAATTACCCACTACTTTTGCAAAATTCGTGCGTGAGATTTGGTTAGTTGGTGAGTCCAGGACGCAATAACGTCACTTTCAGCGACTCTTGCTTATACATGTTTATATTGCTCTACAAAACGAATCTGCCACCAACTGTAGAAATATGTGAGAGGAAGAGAAGACATTGTACTCGCTTGTATTATATTTTAAACAGACATTTTATTTTCACCTATAAAAATGTACTTATGAAAATAAATGGTCAACATTAAAATTTTTAGTTTTTAGCAAGTGTCTCATTTGAATTAAATATTGCTTCAGACCATGATTTACGTCATTCAACAAAAATATTGTGACCTGCCGGTGACACACATGCGGCATCAAAATATTTGTGCTTCTCTGACCGTGATTAAATGCCTAAAACTCCTGAGCTTCCGGGGCTCCGCCCCCTGAACCCCTCACATCAATTTACGCTTCGCTCTCTACCCTGCTACTTTAGCACACCCATTTTGATAAACGTTCCGCGGGGCCTGTGTATATAATATACACGCATAAAACACTGATCTTTATGGTGTCTTTAACGTGACATAGCTTCTTCTCCCCTTGTAAACGAGAAAGAAAACAAGATCAATTAAAGGGATTAAGCGACAAATAATGATTGTGATTCAAATTGTGCAATTATTTTTTTGAATAAGCACTGCTATTCACCAGAATCTTCTTCGTAAAAACAACTTTTACAAATCTCAGCCATGCTCACTGAGTTG